AAGAATAGTAATATCGAAGAATAATACAGTTTTATTGGATATTATAATTCACAAGGAGTGGATGCATCTGCGCCATTGGGAACGATTTTGAGACAATTCACCAATGGTCTCAAGCCTTCATTGCTTTCTACCGTCCAGAGGACGCCAACCAGGAAGTCTACACCTTCCTAAGTGGCTGGATGGCTGGCTGGCGAGCTCAAACTAACTGTTGTGGATTTCATTGACTGATGACGAAGCCATGTATCGGTTTGACCAACACTGGTTCTTTTCCAGCCTGATCCTATGTCAGTTAACATTGGCAGCCAGTCGAGGAAGGTGATGACTAGGCATACGTAACACATGTCCTAACCGTCTCATTCGATGTGTCTTCACAGCCTCGTCGATTGATTTCACCTCTTTATCTAGGGCTCGACTGCCACCTAACCTCAATATTGCGCGCCCTATTATAGCACCACCTGACATGAGAGACAGAACGCAGGTACCTATGATGAAAGACAGCTAGCTAGCCAGCCTTTCGAGGTCTTCCACTCTCAATGGCCAGGTCTCATAGCCGCAAAAGAGTACAGAGCGAACTGTTGCCGAGCAGTACACACGCCCTTTGGTCGACAGGCAGCCAGCCAGTCGGATATCACGTCTACTAAGCCAGGGAGAGGCGGCGTAGACTGTTACAAGCGAAACGAGCCTTCTTTATGCGTACCCAGCTGAGATTTCCTCAGTGATCAACCCACTGGCGTTGGCTGATGCAACTTCCCTAATAAGTGAAGCGGTCAACACGCTCCACCAACCACTTCACTCCCTGTTTCTAAGCTAGGAGTCAATGTAGTCCAGTCCAGTTCAGTACATTAGCATCATCTTACATTTTGCGGGAGCCTATGCCACTGAGTTTTATACTTCATGAAATACCAATTAGATAGAGTATGAAATGAAGAATACCACAAATCAGCTGTTGAAACAAAAACAAACAAAGCACAATTGACAGCACAAACCTAAGACCCCTGAACTAGATCAGCCCCAGTAACTTTGAAAAACAAAGATAACTCAGTCTGGTGTCGAGGAGAAGAAAAATAATGTGAACTAATATTGATGAATTGTGAATTATTAAACTAATAAAAACGTGTTTCAGGTTATTCAAGATGCAGTATGGACCCCAAAAATGACAAAAATTGTCAAAATACAATTATATTTAAACTGTATACAGAACAATAACGGCCACACGTATGTTTATTTACTTGACAAAAAAACCTCATGAGGAACCACTGAAAGTTATAAAATACTACACGGCTAATTCACTATAGTTTAGGGTTATTTTAGCAAGAAACTCTTTACAGCCTGACGAAAATTAATGCGAAAGAAAATCCAGTTTTGTAACAAAAACATTATTGTGGTGGTGTAATACAGAAAATGAGTTCCAACGGAATATCATTATTCTCACATACATAACTGTTCCCACAGTTCAATACTGCATTAGCAACAGAATAATACACAATATATGTATATATGAACATTCCATTTCATGTCGTTTAATGTAAACCAAAATAACACGCTCGATCAGTGATTGGTTAAAGTGCATAAAACTGTATAGATGTGTATATAAACAGTGGTTTGATCAATGGAAAATACATCATGACTTCCGTGTCTTACCTCCTACTGTCACACTATGACTGAATAAACACCCTACACATTCAACAAACTGGTGTCTATACTTATCACTTCGGTAACAGGTATAACTGCTATCTGTAATTGTAGTATAAAGGCCTAAATCTGTGTTTCTCATACTTGACGCGTGTGTACCTAACTACCAGCCATACTTGTTAATTTGAGAAAAAATCAAAGTTGTTTTCTTTAAAGAGAAATAGAACATGAAAGATACTTAATAGCCGACTACAATTGGCATAGAAAATAGATTTTCAAAAACAGCGGACAACACAAAGAACAAAAGACGTTTTGTGCATATACGTTTAAAAACTTGAAATTACATAATACGCCTACTTATTAGTCTCACTTTCCAAAACATATGTTAGATCGATTCACTCTACTTACCTCATTAGTAAATATTATATTATTGAAAAAGAAGGCATTAATAAGTGGCACTAGAAAGTGCTCAGTCGTCAATATTGCACATATGATGCTGAGAATACAGATAATTAAAGTGATGATGTACTAAGGGTGAGGAGGGGGCGCAGTAGAGTTGATTGAAGTGGATGAATTACAAAACTTTTATTAAAGATTATGGAATAAGTGGTCTGGTATAAAGATTTTCTTAAAATTCCAGGTCGAGTATTTTCTAAAACATTAAGATGATGAGTGAAGGGGAATGATGAATTCAAGTGGTAGAATAGAATGAAATGAAAGAACATTACTGTGACGGAGGTGAAGAAAGGCATTCGACAAAACCTTTTCGAATACATAATTTAGGTTTTTGTCCATATATAGCTAGAGCTTCGTCAGGCTATGCATAAGTGGAGAAAACGTATGCTTTAGGAGTGGTTGGATTTGGTTGGGTAGATAAATCAGGTGTGTGTGTGTGTTGGGACGGCTGAATGACCTGACTTCAGAAGGTGTTCACAGATTGAAAACTTTGTTGTCCTATGCTCACTTTTCATTAACCAAACCGAGTGGGAGCTGGGAGTGTTCAGCTATTCGTTTACGGAGATTACGCTTACAACGTTCAATGTAATCAGCTCCACACGAGTGCATGTGAGTATATGCACACTGCAATACTGCATCATCATCATCACTGTGTGTGTGATTATTAAAATAAACTTATCTAATATGGAGTTGACACATTCTACCACTACAGTGCCCAAGTCCTACACTTACAAAATAATGTGGTAACTGATACTAAGTTGATATCAGCTGTCTGACCGAAAAGATACACTATCCAGAAACTTGATGAAATCTCACTAGGTTAAACCATTTTTTTATCAAAATGATACCATCAAAGCTAAGAGTGTACTCCTCGACTGTGCTTATAAAACATGTAAGAAAGGTTCTCGTAAAACTAAGAACAGTGGAAAACCTGATTTTGTAATAATCCTTCTTAATAGCCACTTAAAAATACTTTGTTTTAAACATTTAAAAAAAAATTAAATTTGAACAAAAACACAGTGAGTACTAAACAGTTTGAATGAAATCATATCAACATTATAAAAAGTCGACATCAGTTAGAGAACCAGGTACACGGAGTACTGCCATACAGCTGTTTCCTCCGTCAGCCTAGTTTAGGACTCTTCATCAGTACGCACACACCCCACCGCCTGGGTTTGAACCCAGAACCTTCTGGTTACAAGGCGAGAGAGCTCGTAGACCATTAATTCAGCCACTCGCTCACTGGGACCCGATCCAATGGCCAGCCAGTGCATGAATTCTAACTTCTACCAATTCATGACATAGTGCGGTCTTGTGGCCAGAAGGTGGTCCTGGGTTCGAATCCCAATGGGTGCATACTATGAAGAGTCCCAAACTAAGCTGACGAAACAGCTGGCTCTCTAGTACTCGGAGGTTTTCTAATGGTTCTCTAACTGATGTCAGCTCATGATGAAATCCTCCAACCAATATAACAAAAAAAAACAATCGCTACAAAACCAATAATTGAAAATTATACACAGTCCTTTAAAACACACTTTTCTGACCAGTGCAATGAAGCAATAGCGAATGTAAATGAAGTGACAGAAAAAACTAATTTTAAGCTGTGAGGAAGCATCAATATGTTTCAACAAAAGAAAAAAAACATTTTGCTGTCACCCAAAATAACAGCAATAATAATAGCTATTAATGATAACATAAATAACAAAGAATATAAGGTATCTACAGTAGTTTTACCATATAAAGGGGAGACATCTGAGACTCTACGTGTGATTCTCAATAAAGCAGGAATTACGGTGGTGCTGGCATTCAAACCTACAAATTCACTCACTCAGATAGGACAAGCTGTGTAGGTAAGTTGAAGGACCCTGTGAGTTGACCCAATTAGACAAAATAATATAATTTGCAAAATACTTTGCAATGACTGTCAGTTAGGTCAACTACCTACATAGGTGAGTCAAACTAGTAGATCAGGTTGGAGTAGTGAGACTGGCTGTCCGAACATAAGAATTTATCTGACGTTAGAATGATTGATCCCATCCACGAAGATAAGTAATTCGGAAAAATAACTCAGCACTACATTGCACTGCATGCATTAACACACAATCACGAGACAATGCTGTGGTTTGGACAGAGTCAAAATTTTAAAAAGTGATGCAGGTAGGTGGAGATAGAGAGACATGGATTACTTAATGAATCCTGAATTCCTGTTCATCGACTCTACACACCGAACCCAACACAACACAACATATGCAATAGAAGTAACTCATCATCATCGTCACCTGATACCAGAGATATACAAGATATTATTATCACCAGTCAGTCAGTAATTCAAATCAGAGCAGGAGGATAATAAACAATCTTGAAATGGATTCGATTTCAATTCAATTCAATTCACACACACTGCAACATTCTAACAACAAGTTATTTATTTATTTTCCTATAAAAACATTGGTCTTATTTCCCTTCTCATCCCATCATCTCACTGTATTTGACTGATTGATTGATTGATAACACTAATATTATTATTTCCGAATGTACTTTCTTCTCATCTTATATTACTGATTGATTTTATTCAATCAAATGTTGTCTAATTATCATCAATGTTTGCTCATGTATATAAACGATGAGGCAAGAAAGTGAGTAGTGTGTGAGTAGTGCACTTAGATATGATTATGATTATGAGTTTCAAAGATAACTTGTGCTTGAAACGTGTGGTCATCAATAAATATTACTTTATAACATACACACTGTGCGTGACACTTTATCGAAATAAAAATATTATGCATAATGGAGTTATTCTGGACCACCACAGTGCCGAAGTTTTATTCTTATATGAATAAAGACAGTGGTTATAAGCATAAAGGATAGAATAATTTGGAAGTAATGGTGTGTACATAGTTTTAACAACTTACCGCAATTTCAAGCTCTTTCGTTGGAGAACCATGACGTTCAATATACGAGTAAAGTAGAAATTCCTCATAACTGACAAAAAAATGTAACAGACAGAAACATATAAATCAAATCAATTTACAACAAAATGTAGGATTCGACATCAAAACTATAACGAATTTATCAACAACAAAAAAGAGAAAAAAACAAAACAAAATAGAGGTTCTACATACTTGCATAAGTTTTGAATAGCCGGTAGCAAACATGTTTTCTTAACTCAAATTGTTATAAGCTAGAAGTAGGATAAAAAGCATACCGAGTTTTCATTGTGATCTAATGATTTGGTAGATGTTTCCAGACAAACCAGTATGAGGGAATTAAGTGTTGACTGTACAATAATGAATCATATTTAAGTATTAAAGACATATTACTAACTTTGTACTTATTATAAAGTCATAGGATGAAATCTACTCCTGATAACAACAATCGCTGACTAAATTTCAGAACGGATACAGAAGGCTCGTTTCGCATATTCTACTTTACGCCGTCTCCGGCGTAGATGTTATATCCAGCTATCGAACAAAGGGCGTGTGTAATGCTCAGCAGTGCGCTCCGTTATACTTTATGGCTGTGAGACATGGCCATTAGAAGTGTAAGACACGAAAAGCCTTGCTGGCTAGCTGTCTTTCATCATGGGTGTCTGCGTTCTATCTCCCGTGTTAGGTGGTGGTATGATAGGGCGAGCAATATTGAGGTTAGGCGTCGGTCAAGTGCTAGATGAGGGGGAGGGGAAATCAATAGATGAGGCTGTGAAGCAGTTACATGGATTGAGATGGATGGTTTGGACATGTGTTGCGCTTGCTTCCCTAGCCGTCATGTTTCTCGACCGACGTGTAATGTTAGCTGACATAGGATGGATGTGGTTGGAAAAGAGTTAGCCAGTGGTGGCATTAGTCAAACAAAAACATGGCTTTATCATCAGTCAATGAAGTTCACAACAGTTAGTTTAAGCCAGCCAACCAGCCAGTCACGTAGGAAGGTGTAGACTTCCTGACTGACTGTCTGTTTAGGGTCCTCGGGATGGTGGTGAGAACCAGTGAAGACTGGAGACAATTTATGATATGGCTGGCTCAAAGTGATCGTTCTTGGTGATGGGTGGCTGGCTGGAGCAGATGCATCCACTCCTTATAATTTCCAATAAAACTATATTGTTCTTCTATATTACTATTCTTTTTACCTCATATCTCCATTTTGAATCTCTTTTTACTTTCTTATCTTGCTTTGTGTGCTACAAGGAAGTGGTATGGCGACTCGAAGTGCTGCTGCACATCGGTGCAAAGTTCTACGTTGAAAGCAGTCAGTCAGTCAATCAGTCAGACAACAATTTGTGTTCTGAACTACTATTGAATAAATAAAATCAAAGCTAAACAGTTTTTAACCTTTCTGACATAAAGCAAACAAGCAGTTTAATTATCATAATGAATCATAAACTTAACAAAATAAATTTCCTACTATGAATCTAAGGTTACTACTCTTCTGCACACTAATTATCGCAAAAATAAAAACAACATTGAAGTGTCCAGATATGCAAAAAGAATCGTAAGAAATAATAGACTCACCGTTTTCGAAGAGCATTCATTCCATATCCCAAATAACTTGTCACATAAACTTTATAATTCTGTTCAGGAGAAAACCATTTTCCTCTAACAGAAAACTCTGAAACCAATTCTTTCGGTAGGTTCTCTGTTGATTCAATCTCAAAGGCGATTTGCATACTGGCTCCACCCATATCAAGCATACCATCAGTGGGTTGCTTTATGATTTCTAGAGGGGAAAAATCAGCATCAACGATGTAATTCTAATAACGGATGGATTAGGGAACGAACAAACATTTATTTAAATTGCTGTCATATGGACAATTTTAAAAAATGTTCTAACAAAAAGGAAAAACTATGTCTGTATGTTCTTACTCCTTGGGCCAAACTTCCAAGACATTTATAATCAGATTAAACGTATTAATGACTAAATCTAGTAAGTGAACACACTTCCTTGTTCCTATAACGAAACAATCCTATCTAAGCACATGACAAGTGATGAATAGTTACCTAACGCGATCAAGATGAAAATATATTAAAGACAATGAATTGGAAAGGTAAACATTTCTCACCATTACTCTTAGACAGCGGCCGAAAACGCCCCAGCAAGTAGTTTACAGAAATCCATCCAAACAGACCTTCTTCAGTACCAGAGATCGTATACGCATCAGAATATTTGAAATCGAAACGATAATGAGATTTAACGAACTCCCGAACAGTTTGCCAAATCTCATCTTGTTGTCTAAAATTCAAAATCAGCATAAAGTGAATTTTAAAAAATACGCTGGAGTAAGAAGCCTCATCCCCGCTGTAGCCATTATGAAAAGAGGAGTGTTGGGTTGAGCACTCGTAGGAATATTTTTTACAGCAACATCCAACAAAGATGACATATATTCGGGAATGTCATTCAGTTTGCCAGCGAAACTTGAAAGACCAGGTGTTTGCTTCTGTACAACAGGTTTCCCTTCACTGTTCTTCAAAATTTCCACGTCTTCCAACCCACTAATTGACTCAGCTTTGTTCTGCCAAGTATATACAAACATTCTTGAGCCACTGCTTCCTGAAAGAAAATCAGAAAGTACGTCGGACACTTACCAGCATCAATTATAATAACATAGTTTTGCCCAACAGGCGCTGCCTCATACTTATGCATTTTGCACAATATGAGGGCTAACACAATAGCATGTAAATGTCTCATTAAATTATGCCAGTTCATCACTTAATGCAAACTGGCAAGTAAGTACAGGGTGGTATTTATATAAAATGTATATAAGCGGAACCCAAACCATATTTCTGCTCAACCAATCACCATGCCTACAAGACACCAATTGGATGACCCGGTGAATTTAACTCCTTTCAATTTTCGTTGTAATGTATAACGTAGATGTTGATGTGAATATTTTCGCTAGTGGCATTCATTCAATGTTGCTATGATTTATAATCTAAAATAAACGTTTTTACAGCAAACGAAGCAATGTTTTTTTGAACAACTTGGTGTTAGTTTTTTGACTCTGCAATAAGGTCCTAGGTTGCAATGAGCTCCTGTAACATCACTCCTCGGACTTCGAAGCCTGGTTGAACATGATGAGAGGGGGCACTTTATTCCATTTCCTTAGCAATCAGGTCGGGGACTTGAAAGTTTCCTTCCCTTTAGGTTGGCAAAGGATTCAGAGGAAGGATACTGAGCGAGTGGTAAAAAAGTGGGGGAAAATAGGCGTGAGACATGAACGCAACAGATATAGAAGAAGAGAAAGATATTGTAGACAATGGGTGTGATAGAAAATAAGAATAAAATAGTGATGTGCAAAAGAAAATAAGTTAGATATAGCGCTGATAATCTACTTTATGAGCTGATGTGCGCAATAGCTCAACTTCCTCCTGAAGCCATTAACTATCTAGGTGCTTGTCACGTAAATGGGAAGTGAGTCCCAATTTCAGCAAGCTCTAAAGGAAAAGAAGTTAGTTCATACGTTCACTACTGCTCTACCTTGAGGCATATCACTGTCTTTCTAGTACTATTTTTTGCATTTGAGTATGAATAGTTAGCTCGTGATTCTTTGCAACTGAGAATCCAAATATTTAGCTTTCTCTTTCGGTTTTCATAAGATGTGCATTCTAGTCTTAATTTTGCATAATCTCAGTTGTGTTTCTAATAAGAAATTCACGCCTGGTTTGATGATGGTGTAGTAACAATTTGGAGTTCCTAATGTTGCCGCACATATGTCTTGTGCAGCTGCATAAAATTTATAGGTAAGTGCTCCTAGCTGCCTACTTGCGAAGTAGATTGTCTCAGTGTGTTTGGTTGAGTGTCCTGCAAAGTTATTTGTTCGACTTTGCAGGCTGACTGTATGGAAGGGTTGGCTACATATGAGCAGTATGGACGTCTTTGTTCGATTCGTTGGCAAATATTAATAATGACTCAAGTTAACCCACTTCCTGTGGTCGAGTTTTCTAAGTCATTCAGATCTTCCACAGCTTTATATCCTCTGCATACTTAAGCATTGAATAGCTGGATCTACCCCGAAGGCTGTTTAAAGAGATCATGAAAGGAAGTGAACGAAGATCACTGGTCGCACCTCTCCGTGCAAATTATACCAGGCTCGCTTTCGTGCAAAATTCCCTGCACTACAGTTAGGTTCCTATCCGCTACAGCACTGAGTCCTCGTCTTGAGGACTTGTCCCAGTAGGACTTCATAGGACAGGACGTCGAAGGACACTGCAAGGCTTAGAAACATGACATGCCCTGATATACTCCGGTCCTCGAATTCCACCTGGATATTCCAAGCTACGGGAGAGCTGGTGGCGCAGGACCATACCTTCTCGAATTCATGTTGAGCTTCCTGTAAGACGCTGTTCTCTTTTATATGTTTCCTGATGTGTTCATACGGCCCGCTCTCTGACAACTTCAATATTGTTGGTATAAGGGCCAAGCGTATACATCTCTTGGGATTGCTGCAGTCTCGCCTGTTAAAAATAGACGACAGGTTGACTTGATCTATTACGAATACCTGTACAGTTAATATTTAAGCTGCTTACTTAGAGGGGTACATGGAGCCTTAGTACATTGCTTGAGAATCACTGGTTTGGTGTTATTACGTTCTGAGGACTTTTCTGGATGGAGTCTTATTTGCATTCTCAAGGCAGCACTCGAATTTATTCTAGGAAGGTTCTCCACATGGTGTCAGGCTACGCCACGAGTTACCGGGAGGTACTTATCTCCCTGCATTCTTGTCACCCAGCCATCTTCCAAAGACACCACTGAGATCTTAAGCTGTTCTTGGATTACTTAGAAGTACGCTCCTATGTTCTCTAACATCACACACTTCTTGGAAAGCGCTTTTTCCTTAGCCGCGATTCAATGTAGATTCTTTCAGCTCATTTTCGATTTCATGAGTAGGCTTGTCTAAAATGTTCCGCACGCCCCCTGAAACTTCGTATGGGAGCGAAGTATGCCATATGGTCGGACTTCCTAATTGACATTCTTTACTTCTAACACGGCTTTCTCCTATTCTTAAAGAGACTCGATTCGTCTTATCATCCAGTGAGCTCAGTTTTGGAGAGTTACATTAACATAGAGTGAAACTGTCGATGACTTGTGCACTGTCAGTGCTTGTTTACAGTCAATGAATAATACTGTTGTAGCCAGGGCGACGACTTTGGCGCTTCTCTTATGCTCCCAAATTAGGCTCCATCAAATCAGAGATGGCTAGGAAGTTTTATCCTAGATTAACTCCCCTCTAGTGACACTGCCGATAGCTGCTGCCTACTGGTAGCTCTAAATGTGCGTTCCTCATGAGATGTTCACTGATGAAAAGGAAATTCAACTGATTTGATTTATCGTATTCCCATTCCCTAGCGTTTGTCGTCCTCAATGTTTTCATGCATTCCGTCAATCACGATATCCCCAGTAGCTCGCTTTCAGAACCTTCTGTGCATGCATGATTCTCATAGAGGTTTAGTGGTGGCATATTGAGAGTACTAACAATATTAAACTGGCCAAATCCTATGGTCGAGAGCATGTATATTGCCCCGATCATGCACACATTATGTTGTCAGTCTGTACGCTGCTCCATTCAAGAACCTGTTGATTTTCATGGTCATTTTCATAGAATCCTTTAGATATTTTGGCAGTGGCTTCTTGAGTTTCTCCGTCATAATTTTGGCAGTGAAATTGCTTTGATACCCCTTGTTATCTCTCCACTGAGGTCCTTCCATATCAGTTAAGTCTCAGGGACATTCGCATGTTTTTCAGTCGGAATGAACATTTATCTCCTGTTTTACTGGTTAGAAATTATTTTCACATAATGCAGTATACACTTGGTTATATCTGAACCAAAATTATGCAGGTAGTATTGTTGTGTTGCTCTGTTTGATCAAACTAACGTGCACGTATATCCTAGTACTTCTTCGCGTTTATTATTGTGTCCTAACGTTGTGATTACTCGACATCTACAACGTAAATTGAAGGGCACTTGAGAAGGAGTACGAACGTGTATTATCGCAGTAATCAAAATTCAAAAGTTGAGCGAGTACAATGTATCAATTATTAACACGCAATCATTGGAGTGATAAACAAATCAAAGTTCAATTACACAATGAAAGCATACTACGATGATGAATGATAAAATGGGTCACTTCAGTATGATAAACTTCTACACATTGTAAAGATTCGGGAATGGGAGATCTTACTGTAATTCTCTGAATTTAGTAAATTAGGAGAAAAGGAAGGCCAACAACACCCTTTATAGACCACACCGATAGGATAACTGTCGTTTTGTATGAACTTCGAAATTCATTCAGCCCACTGTCATCCACTGTTTTCGAGTTCTAAATAATCTAGAGAAACTGATCTATGAATTCCTTCACAAGGAGTTAAGTCACAAGAAAGTCAGATGTATGCAATATTTCTTGTAAAATTTTTTCCGTAGGAGAATGACGTACAGTTTTTGAACTCTACGGGTAATGTCACTGTTTTTCATTTCGCGAGAGCCCTCCTCCTGTTATACTTTAAATCAGCAATGACTCAGGCCAGCAATCTGATTCTGAGAAACCTTCCCAAACAGTAATTCACTCATAGTAAGAAAAAAATATTACCATATTACTTAATAATCATTTCGCATATTTTCATACAAATGGAATTTGTAAATGAGAAGCCTTTATCTTACAGAAATGATCAAAGATGACATGAATACACATCGCGAATACTATTATATATGTTGGCTGTCACTTTTATGTTGGCTTTCTAAATTCCGCTTATCATCAAGAGTGCGACTGTTTAACTTGTCATATATGTGGGCAGATATAACCAGCCAATGAAACATCAGTTCTATTTGGTGTGATTGTACATATATATTTATTCCTGTTTATGCAGGAACATACCAATTGTACAGACATGGATAAGTTATTATATCAGTTACACATATTTCGATGTATGCTGAATTTACACTTTGGTTGTTCTTTCTGACATTAGAGTCAGTCGGAGCAGTCTGCTTGATAGCCTGTTTGTGTAACACATAAAGAGATATAGAAATATTATCTTCGCATTAGCGAAAAACTCAGACATCAGATGAATGTAATACAAATATCTGTGAAAAATAAAGCTTGAAGTCAATTCTCCTACATAAATTTGTTGCGAACACCATCCTTGAGTTTAAGCTTATTGATGCATTATTTTGAGGTCAGTGATGTATTTACTCCATTTTTTCAGTAGTCTAATCGTAGTTTTATAATAGGAAAGGAATCTGATCGTGGATACGAAAACTAGATAAAGTCATGTTAGATTGTTTTACTGCATGGAATGGGGCTGAGGTTGATTCCAGAAATATCCATTGGCGCCATTTGTATCAGCATGGCAGACTGTACACGTAAGTTGAGTAATCCATTGAAAACTGTTTGAAAAACAGTTGCTTCTTTATTTCACATCAAGAAAACTCCTTGTACAGAATGTTGGCCAGCGTTTTCAAATGGTAGCATCGGATCATTCATGGAATTTGAGTTTGAATTTACTTAAATGGTCATTTCAGTTTAGATGATGGGTTGTTCGACCTCAACCAGGAGGTATATAGAAGTGTAGGCTCAGCAACAGAAAGAGAAAGTATGTGAACATGAAAGGAAAATTAATGTTTTTATGTATATATAAATGTTTAAAAGTATATATAACCGTATAGTAAACATTTCCTATATTCTAGTTGTGTTTTCATGTAATTTTGCGAAGTCTTAGAGTTTATTTAGTGTCATAATATTTAGTAGTGAGTCTAGGCGTTATAGTGTTCTAATAGCTGATGCGTTCTAGAAATAAGTGGTTCGGTGTGATTGGCATAGTCATTGGGATGAAACAGTTTAT